AATTAGCTTTAGCAAGATCGCACTTGTCGTTTTCTTTGTTTGAATCGTCTTTAATGGCCCCATCCTCCTCGACCCAGCTAGAAAGAAATAGAGATGAGGAAAATTTAGCATGTGATAACATCAGCAAAAATTTCATGTAGATATGAAGACCAAGATATTGTGGCCTCTGGTGTGGTCACAGTCGCAGGAGAGTGGCAAAATTCACTGATGATGCCGACTATGATGACGGCAAAACGTTTAAGAATGTACCAAGTCCATTGTCCGATGCTGGAAATCATGACAACTACTATGGCAGATGACTTCAGACTTCAGGTGCGTTCTACTAAGTTTATCTGACAACAAGACCAAGTTGCGACAACGAGGTCAACCGATTTCTAAAAGTTTAATGTGTTGTTGAGCGGCGGGATGGGTGGAATCGGGATATACACCTCTCAATGAAGATAGAGAACATAGAAGCAATATATAAACATTGCTTTTTCGTTTTATAAGTAGGTTTCGAGGCCACCAGTAGGACATATATATATATATTCAACTTATTTTGTTTAAGGTGATGAATAAGGGGTAGTTGTATTTTCGAGCAATGATATGAGTAGGTCTTAAATTTCCACAAAATTGCGCATAGCCTTGTTTCCCGAAAGGTATTCTCATCCGAAATGGACTGCAGTTTCGACCTTGCCTTATTGTTTCATCAGAACCCCCAGAGGGACTCGAACCCGAGTAGATCAGCGTACAGTCTCGACACGTTAACCGCTACTCCACATTGCCACGAGTGAATTTCAAAAAGGGACAAACCTTTCCCACATAACTTTCTTTGATGGGGTTGTCGATGAAAGATAATATCTTTTGGGAAGCAAGGCTATCTAAAATTAAATGGAAACGAGGGGCCAGTTCATTTGATTGTGGACAAATGCTACTACCAGCTTTTCATAACCTTAAACGAAATAGGGTAAATATATCTTATACACATATAAAATTATAACTTGAACAACATTTTTATAGAAAGGGTAGGTTTCCAAGCCTGCTTGTTTTTAGAAGACTATCCGATTATTTGAATAGGCCTTTTGAGACAGTCAATAAGAGATATTATAGTAGCAGTAAGTTGAGTTTCACATTTAAAAAACAAGAGTAATTTGCTTAAAAAATGAGCAAATCATATAAATGGAAGTGAAGCATCCTGCGATTCGCTAAGAGAACAAATAATCACTTGTCAAGTTATCAATGGGGCTATTTACAGTTTTATAGGACTACCAGTTTTGGAGATAGTCGTGTTGAAATAAACAAGATTGCAGATTTAAATACTTGCTTATAAGACAATCTTGGATTACATAAAAATGTTTTGGGCGCCGGCACCAACCTGACGTCGCCATGTACTTCGAAATGGGTCAGTAGACGTTGTCTGTCTGTCAAACAGGTCCGAAGCTGAGCCAAATAGGCATTTACACGGTGAGTCTGCTCTAGAGTAGTCTGGCTGGCCAGCCAGGTTCGGAGTCTGGAACCACCGCAAGTTGGGGTAAGATAGCCCATTTGCTCTGCTTGCTCGAGCAAATTGGCTAATGGAAGCATTACAGAGGAGAGGAGGCTAAAAACGGCGGCTCCTGGATTGCGTGCAGGGGGTGCCACACCTAGTTCTGACCCATTTGTGCATGAAGTATGTCCAATTTTATCAGACAGGTCATCAGAAAGTGCACTAGCAAGCCGGCCTCTAATAAGATGGAAAGCAAGCTGATCGTCAAAACGACCATCCATCGGTTCCCCAGAGCCAAGACCAGATCCATGTGAGTCAGTCTCGCTAAAATCTCTGCGCGAAGGCTGGAAACAATATGTATGAGAAAGATGGAAGATAGTCTTTCCTAATCGTTTAAACAGCTTTAATTGTGCGAATCAGCAGTAATGATTTAATAGAAGATATAAAGACCAAGATGGCGTGACCTTTTGTATAGTCGCAGTCTCCTTTCGTTGTATATAAGTTGTTTGACCTTGTTTTCATAACTCGGTCATATCGATAAGAAGACCTAATCCGGAGTCAAAAGTATGCATGATAATTTCCAGACTCGGACCGTGGACGCGGTATATTCTCAGACGTTTAGCCGGCATCGTAGTCGGAATCGTCAGTAAACCTTGCTAATCTTAGCACCGCACTTCAACTCGTCAAAAAGACAAGTGAAGCCGATCCTTTGACCAATTATCTGCTAAATAATTGTGGCATCTCTCTTTCTGCCTTGGGCTATTCACCAATCCTATATCCTCGTATCACCCCTTCAATATCACAATTTCCCTTTTTAAATGTGGCATGGCGTGCCCATTTTAGCGAATTTTATGAAAACTTTCAAAACCCTAAGCTGGCTTTATCACCCCCTTACCCCGAAATCCTTTTTCCATAGGTCTTATCAGTCTTCCTCTTGCCCTGTAGGATCCGCCTCCTACCTTCCTGGCTCAGGTATTTCACTTTACCCCTGTAATCTTATTTGTACTACTCGAAGCGTCATTTCTCACACCGCCTTAAACCTTTGATGGCACGCATACTCCCGCCTCGCTGAATAGGCTCCTAAAAATCAGGATTCTCAAGCTGGATGGGAGATTGACTTGAGGCTAACGAGCCCGAATAATTCTCATGGTCATGGATAGACGCTGCGGAGAGAAGAGCTATTTGACAAAGAGTAGATGTGTTTGATCATAGAAGTGGTTCATGGAGCAAAGACTTGACCATGAGAATTAGTCGGATCACGTCTATGATCAAATACGTCTATTGTTAGTCAAATAGCTTTAGTCTCCCCAGCGTCTATCCTGTTTCTATCCATAATGCCAAGCCTATTACTTCGTATGCCATAGTCTCTTTTGTGCCAACTAACAAGTTATCTTGTTCTTGTTTTGATTAGGCTCATTGTAGACGTCTTTCTTGGCTTCTGATTATTCCTTTCAGGACTCCTTGTAGTTTCTTTTCCTAAAATTAAAGATGTTTAGAGGTTGTTTGACCTTGTTTTTGCAACATTGTCTGCATAATCATTTCCAAAGTTGAACCGTGGACGTGGTACATTAACAAACGTTTCGCCGGCATCGTCAGTGAGTATCGCCATTCTTAGCACCACACAGCAACTCGTCAAAGAGACAAGTGAAGCCGATCCTTTGACCAAACGTATGCTAAACCATTATGGTATT